CCCACCCCTCGACAGCCAATCAAAGTATCACAATAAAATTAAATTACCAGACATGATGAAGTAAAAAAAAAAATTTTGCATTATCAACCCTTAACCCCCACCCCCTGGCGAGATAAACAGTTTCCAGTCACTTATATAATTTTTTTGAGTATCGAGAATTGAAAAAAAAATATGCAGCATCAATCGAACTGCAATTACATTTAACTAATGGAAAAATCTGCCTCCAGTCAGTCGTGACCTATGACACGCGTAGAGACACTATCACCCTTGTACCAGGCTAAAGTGTATATCAGGCATTCGGCCACTTTACAGTATCGTTATATTTATATATGAAAGGGAGGTACGCGTGCAAGTGGACTCGATGAAGAGTTTATTAATTAATCGTCGCGGCTCGCGAGTCGCGTTGGGATTTTAATCAGAGAGAGAGAGAGAGAGAGAGAGAGAGAGAGAGAGAGAGGGATAAAAAGTCAAACCCTCTCTTTCGATCCAGAACATCCCCTAGCGTCGAGGGGTTGCTCCTCCCATCCCCTACGAACTTCCTGGCTTACTCTGGTAATTATTCCGATTACCGGCGACGAGCTGCCGGCTTATAAATTTCGATGGCAGCTCCCTATCAAGTCCGGCCATACCCCTATAGTCCATCCGTGGAAACTTTGTATGCTCGATAGATCGCATACAGTTCGAACGACATAACTATGCTATATCTCATATAACCTGTATCGTATATCAAATCTGTATACCAGATCTCTATGTACTGAGTATTAGTTGTTTAACGGTAGATCGGCTATTGATTATTCAAAAGCATAAATGGAGCCAATCGGACTACCCTATGGGGATAGCTTGAAAATGCGTTAGCAAAGTTAAGCACAGGCTTAGATTTATTTTTAGGCCTATCGGAAGGTGGGCAAGTGACGTAAGTGACGGCTCCTTTGCATTTGTCAATCCTAATTTTTGTAACGATCCTACCCTATCCGCGTCACTATCTTTTTTTTCAGGCTTCCGGCCTTAAGTCCGCTTTACACCATCTCCCCCTGTACCCTTTAGCCTGTACCACCAATTCCAAAGTGACGCAACCCGGTAAATCCGTCTGTTTACATAACTGCACCTGTCATTCTATATCGCGCGAAAATCCACGTGTCGACCTGACAGCAACAAGTGAATTATTAATCCGAAAACACGTGTAGTGCAAAAGTTATGGCGAACCGTCAAGCGATCAAATATACATATCGCGAGTGCCAAAAGCTGTACTGGACCCCCCCGATCAAAAATGAAGATCACGTCAAAATTAAAATTTTTCTATTTTACATTTCAGTCAATACATTTCTCAAGTGCATACTCTTACTATAGCATACTCCCACGGACTATACCTTCCGTCAGTGCTTCTCTGTGAACGGCGAATCCACTGCCATAGAATCTCTATTCGGACGTGCCTAGTCTTACTGCTGCACGAAAATCTCCACTAGGAATATTATAACGAGGAAGCCTTCCGTTGTACGTACGCGCATACGTTGGTATGCCTGGACGGTCCGAGCGAGTGAACCGGAAGTCGAGCGGTCGGCTGACGATAATAATAACAGTAACTGGCGAAAAAGTTTTCCACACCAAGGGCCGTACTGATACGTGGTTACGGAGATACAGACTGGTCCAAAAGTTTTCTGTGGCTTCTGATCCGTTGGTTACGCAATGTACCTGTATAATACAGATATATCACGTAACGGTAGAAAGGAAGGATGGATCCTGGTGATCTGCATCTATGACGTATACGAAAGTGCAATGTGCATAGGATGCATCAGAATTTCCCAGTTCTTCGTAGGTATTAGTTCATACGTTCCGCTAGAGTCTCTCGATGGGTAGAGATGGTACAATTGCTTTGCGTCCTACCACCTTTATAACAGCATCCCTGGACCATTCGGCTGGCTCAACTTCTGGCCACGAAATGTTTGAACAGTTTTCAATCCCGCGTGCTCGTGTTTACTGACCCAAAAGCGAATAATTTTCGTATGACCTGGGTAAGTTTGACCCGGAAGCGCCGTGACCTCTCTTCGGCCGATCCGCAACCTGCTTTTTATTGAAGTTCTCATGGGTGCTCGTATGTGCGAATACCAGGGGCCATGGTAGTAACCTACTATCCGTATCACTTGTCCTTGTCTATCCTCTTACGTGTAATGCAACTCTGGACCCGATCCATCCTCCACTCTGGACGCTATCCTCTCTCGGCCGGAAACTACGAACACGGAGAACCGGAAGCCACTCGGCTCACGACGTCGAGATGAGCTCTCGGCTGCGATACGGGGATTGGCTCTTGTGATTTCTTTTCTTTTGGATTTTTTTTTGGGATTTTTTTTTTTCGTCTCATACTACTTTACTCACTTGATCTCTCTGGATTGGCCGTTCCTTTTATTTAATTTTTTTTCTCTTTCTTTGAATTTCTTTTTTTACTTCTTATTCGTGATTTTAGTGGAATTTTCTTTCTCGTTCGTGTATCCAGTGTTTTTTTTCTTTTCATTTTTTTTTTGTGTGGGCTATTCCATTGGCTCTAACCTTTGAACTCTTTTCAAACCACTGCATTGACTCGCTGGGACTTTTTCTTTTTACTCGGTCTTGAGTAATTTCAACCCCCTGACTTTTGTTCGGATTTATTCCAGGTCTGCAGCGGTTGACGAGTGAGGGATGTTAATTAAGGGAAAAGGCTAGGGATTTTTTTTTGGGTTAATTTCTTCGGGATTTTTGCTGATGCTTTTACGAGCGCCAGTTGAACTTTAATATGCAGATTTAATTAATTTTGGGAAATTTTTTTTTTTTTTTTTTTTTTTTTTTTTTTTTTTTTTTTTTTTTTTTTTTTTTTTTTTTTTCAGGGTGTTCATTTGACTTCGAGACAATCCTTGATATCGAGTCTCTAATTCACATGATCAAGTATCGTTTCACAGGTGATTGGTACGACTGACTGACCCAGAAGTATATAATTCACTTCGTAACTAGAGGGTTGAAAAAAAAAATTTGGCAAAGTGGCACTGTGCGGGTACGGGGTAGTTTTGCATAACGTAACGTTTCGTTGCCTCTTTTTTAAAAAAAAACCATTCACCCATTCGTACGAATGTTCTTTTACGAAATTTCCATTTTTTTTTTTTTCATTTTTTACTTCCCTTTCATCCCTCCTTTACATGTCCACCTACCGCGGCCATTTACTAATTGATTCCCAGCAGGTGCGCCACGGCCCGTTTTACGGTACATGCGTTTGCCAATTCCCGGCAGTCATCCCGCCCACCCTCCATACTCCTTCTTTACCACAAAAACCAACCCCGGACCCTTACCCTGTATATGGCAGAGCAAGATAAAAAAAAGAGCGAAAGAGAAAAGAAAAAAAAGTCCATAGAAAAATATTCGCAAGGCAAATTTTCATTCGTACCTGCAGTATTCGCACTTGTCCGATCGCGTGCATTAATATACTACTCGATATAGGAATTGAAAAAAAAAAAAAAAATCGAAAATTTTCGCACTGAGGAAAAACCCAAATACCCTCGAGGCAAATTCTCACCAAATTTCGCAGCACGTCGTCGGGCACGTTTCTCGTCGAATTGCAAAGCGCCCTGGCCGCGCTGTGTGAGAAAATGACCGGGGCCCTCGTAGTCTGCAGCGCCGCTCTCATCGTCCTGGTAGAAACGTGTGACAGGTCCACCAGCATTCCAAGTCGATTGAGCTCGCGTACCACCGCCTGTGACAAAGTACAAAAAAAAAAAAAACATTACCTATACGTTTTTATGGTTAAAATAAGAAGAAAAAAAACGATTCGCCAAAACCGTATAGAATTTAAAAAGAAAAACAGATTTTTACAGAGATAAAAATTTTATCTCGAGCAGATGCACTTCCTCCAGGGACGTGGCCGGTGAAATTTATAGTAATAAAAAAAAGGTATGCATCCTGCCGACGCAGCATCTCCCTGGAGCACGGGATTGGCTGGATTTTTAGTAAGGCACTGTATAATATCGCCATTGACACTACTCCCTAGGGGGGTGGCGCTCGCGGTGGTGGTAATGGTGATAAAAACATCCCTTGGCTCAGACTGTCCATTGGCTAGGGATTTTTCTTCTGGGAATCTTGGGGCGCAAGGAGAAACGGAGCGGAATGGTCAGGCACGTACCTAGAGGACGGACGGACAGGCGCAAGAGGAGCGGGGGCCAATAAAAAAAAAAAAAAGGAAGCGAGGGATGCAACCGGAAAGGCAACAATGCTGGCCAGCAACTTTTTTTCACTCTTTTCGAGAAATCAATGCCCGGATGCCATTGGCGTGGGACAGAGGGATGTAAGAGGGTCGTCGGCTATGCGGCTGCCAGAGACTCTTTAGAGACCACACGTTCTCTCTCTCTTTCCGTCTCATCTCCAGAATGAGATTCCACATGCACCAGAAAGAAATACATAGATCCGCTTGGTCCAGGCCAATAAAATAGAAAGAATTTTTTTTCTTTCTTTCTTCGATTCCCATCCGGTAGATTGCAGCACCGGTGTGCATAGATATCCGGTAAAACCACCCCTGTCCGTACTGTGGGTACAACGAATATTTTTACGCTGGACTTCTGCACAGCATCCGCATCCCCCGTTCGGAGGATCATGCCCAAGGTCCAGGAAGTGGAGGATGCGTGTCTGGCAATACGACTGTTTCATAGGGAGATGGTAAGGGCGGGTCGGGGTAGCGGTAGAAAGATACCTCAATAAAGGTCACCCTCGTGTGGAATGTGGCCCAGGGCTATATCCCGGGTGGGGCATACGACACCCGGCTCCTGGTATCTGATTTATACAGTCTCTCTTTTATATGAGTCACCCCCACCAACCCCCACACACCCTCACGTTCGTCAAGACAATTCGCATTCAAGCATCCTGCGAGCGAGTCCTCGACTTCCGCCAGAAGGTCTTAAGGATCTTTCTCGAGGAGTCACTTCCGGTTATGGTTGAAATTTTATTTACCTTGCCGAATTCACTGAGTCCCGGTGCGTTGTCCTGGGTGCTGTTGGTCTCGCCAACAGAACAGACTGCCCTGCCGAGAAAATATTAATTGGCTATTATTTATTTGATTAATTTTTCTTTTTCCTTTCTTCTCGTCTCGTCAAAGGGCGAATGAAATTGCAGTTGGACGGGAGGGGATTATTTTTTTATCGATTTGGGATCCAATCAGGATATCGTAAGGGCTAAGGATGTCGGGGGTCAAATCAGTCGTGACCTTCTTGTGGAATTGACCCTCGGTTTTATGACGTCACTCTCGCTTCCGGTACCATCGGAATCCACAGCAACCTCCAGCGTCCCACGACAATGGGGCATCTGGCAGCAGTGAATCTCGAATTTGTCGATGAACGCGTATCTTGGAACGCGGAAGAATTCAAGATAAATCAAAGAAAAGGATACGAGATATCTTGACGATATCTTGTTTACCACCGAGCCAAGATTCTCAGCTGGGGACAAGATAAAAGAAAATGAACCGGATATTGGTGACGTAAAATTTTGCGCTGTACGATGAAAGATTACGTGTTGTGAGAAAAAAGAAAAAAGAAAAAAGAAAAAAAAAGAATAAAGAAAATACCTCGTACGTCAAGTCGAAGAAAAATTCTGAGGAGAGAAAGTCAACGTATAGTCGGACTCGTGTATATCCGTGTGATATTCTCGTAAATAAGAATCCGACGCGAAAGAGAACGGCAAGAATAGTTTTGCTCGACAGTCAAAAGAAAAAAAAAAAGATAAAAAAAAAAGAGAAGAAACAACACGTAGAAAAGTGAAGACCTTGGGATTCACCGGTAATAGAATATCCTGGTTACGTAGTATCTCTCGTTGCTCCGTTGGTCGGGGGAGGGGGGCGGGTTTCCTCTTCCTTTACCTAAATCCCAAGAATTCGAAGAGGAGAGACGGTCTCCGCGTGAGTGAAGAGTAAGCGGTGGCACCCAGGTCAGGTAAGAGAAAAGACTGGAACGTGGCGTTCCATAAATAACAGAAGAGCCGAGGGAACGCTGGGAGTGGGTGGGGCCAGGGGTGAGGTGGCGGAAGAGACTGCGGTCATGATTTAGGCTAGGCCAGCCAAGAAGACGCAAAGAGAGAGAGAGAGAGAGAGAGAGAGAGAGAGGAGAGGAACCTAACCTAAAAGTAAGACTGTACCAGATTCCGGAAGGAGGTTAGGGTCAGGTTAGTCCAGTCTGTGCTGGGCCGTTAGGCCAGGTCTACTCACCAGGACGTGTCGCAGGCGTGGGTCAGGGTGAGATAGCGCGCACCCAGGCCGTAAAACGTCCTGAGGACCCCTAAGGAATTCCCAAGAGCGTGACCACCCTCCACCCCAATCAGACTGGCGATCTTACCCTCGCGATGCGCCTCGATCAGACCTGCGGGACAAATAAAAATTCATATCCGGTCCACGTTACAGACCGCAACTCCAGTATCCATCGTACGTAACCTAAAAATCGTACAACCCCTACGCGACGGAGTTATTGTACCATCTGCCGAACCCTGGTAACACATAAACCATATATATAGGGGAATTTCAAAGTCGTTCCGAGAGCCAGTGGAGTTGCGTGGGATATATAAGAAAATCAGCTTCCTCCCCCCTTGCCCCACACGAAGAAGGAAACTTTTGAACCCCTCTATTTCTTCATATTTAAACTTTGGTTTTGCCAGGATTACATCGGCAGCGATGAATCATCCCCAAGGAAAGAGCAACGTCTCGTAAATATATCTGTGCGGTCTTTCCCTTCCCATCTCGTTCATCTCATCTCCCCCTCTTCCGCGCAGCATCCCTTCCTCCTGCAGCTCACCCAACCAGTACCCTGTAAACGCTACCGCGACTCGGGCGAGTAACTAGATGCACGTAGATATAGGCGGGTACCTTCCCAGCATCCTCGCTACGCTCCCTTATCCTTGAGATCCCGTTCCACTGAGATACTTGCAGGCATCTTCCAGCAGCTCTTCACTTCCGGTTTTCTCTACTTGGCAAGTCGGTAAGCTTATGAGAACTCTGACAGCTACCCAGACCCCTCCCGCCGTCGTCCCAACCTTCTCAGACGGGGTAGCAGCACGCTACTTGTTTGCGCAAAAGTTTTGTCGGGATTCCCCCTTTTTCATCCCCTATTCCCACCCCTCGCCCTACCTGCTGCTAGTACGACCCTCCTCCTACAGTTTTCATAATCTCTCCCCGCGTCTCTTTCTTCACTTTGTCTTCTCCCCTTAACCGGGTTACGTGCAACAATCTTTCCGAGTCTCGCACTTCCGCTCGAGACCTACCTCAGGTAATCCGTGAAACTGGCGCGAAAACTTGAACTTTTCGAATTCGCCCGAGAAGCACCGTGTCTATTGCACGTAGGTACGGGGGGATTGGATGCGGGTTCGTCCCGGTTCGTATTCGACCCGGTTACGTGGCGGGGTGAGTCATTACGGTAAAGCACCGAGGACTTCCGGTTCTTTTGGACGTCGGAGAATCGTTGGAAACGTCAGGGAACTTTTCAGGAAAGAATACCATCCAATTTCGATGTGAAATTGCGATTTTTATCAGTTTCCAACTATCGGTAACGGGCATTGATCCATCGCTTCTGGAACATCCCTTGAAAACTACCCTTGCCGGTATCACCCTTCCACGTGGCGCAGGAGGTTAAAAGCAATAATTACTATGTCATCGGAGCATTTTCCAGGGGATTAAATTGATATCGATTAATATCGCGAGATTGGCCGAGGATATTTCAACCCTTAGCGGTGAACTACCCTTGTGCACGTATATGGCTGTTTATACGTGTGGCCTGAAAAATGAGTTTTACGGGGACGGTTGATGATTTTTTTTTTTAATGTGTACCCTTTTTACCCCCTTCTCGTTATCTTTGCTACATTCCCTCTCTTGATTTTCCAGCGTCCACTCCCAGTTCCAATACTACTCGTTCCTCTCATTGTGCTTCGGATAACACGGTTTAGCAGGCGTTCATAAAGTCGCTACTTGCGTACCCGATACTTCGCGACAATGGCTCGGACCCAATAAAGGATCCGTGAAGCCGATTGTAAGGGGCTGCTTATTCCTCTCTTCGTTTGTTCTTCTTTTTTTCAGCCCCCTCTCGACCTATCTTCAACTCACCCTTAACAGACGTCACCAAGGTCAGGTGCTGAGCATTCATTTCGGCCAATCTTCGAATAACGTCGATCTGCTCCAGGGACAGTTGGACGGCGTTCAGCTGTGCCGCTCCGCAGGGTACGTAGGCTGACCAGAACTGCAAATGAAGAAGCGGTTGATGATGTTAAAAAAAGTATTCACAAATATGAAATAATAATACCTGCAAAAATAAACAAGACCGCGAGCAAGCTTTGCCCGGGCGAAATAAAAGCTCTATATATTCATGCATTCCGCTCGGTCTGAAACGACCTGTAGAATGCTTTCTTTCGCGAAAAACGGAATTTCAGAAATTCGCCAGTGTTACTCCACCGGCTATCGTCACCCTTATAAGTGAATAGTCCATGCTACAGCGAGGAAGACGCCATAAATCTCGTCAAAGCTTTTTTTAACCCCCCCCTTTTTCTTTTATACGTATCTCGACGAATCACTCCTCCTTCTGGCATCCCCGGCGTCGCGACGCACAAGTGCCCCGCGTACTCCATTTTGAAAAGCTAACCGAAAGTCCCACTGTGAATTATTCAAATGTATTCATGGGAATTGCAGCAACTTGACCGTTATACGTTTCGGAGTTCGGTAACGAGTTGCTTGCAAGCTCATCGATACCCTATACGTATTGTTGTACGTTGGAAACTCCCCAGGAAAGGTCCAAGCGCTCTGTATAGTTTACACCAGGGAATATATAGAGTCCCTGTACGTATCAAGCTTGCAAGCTCCGCGTATAAATACAAGATCGAAAAGTAAAAAGTATCGGTGATGATTAAGAGAAAGTCCGACGTGTTCATGTTATTTCCCTAAAAATGTCAAAAAAGCTCAATTTTCGTGGAAAAAGCTCTCTTGGGTAAATTTTAACTAAAACCAAGAAAATTTAACAAAAATAGCAAAGCTCAAGACGAATCTCGAAACGGATATAAATCGTTCGTGAAAACTGAAAAGCTTTAAGAAAAGCTCGGTAACGGATATAAACGCAAGCAGAGATACAGTATCAATCTCGACCAGAGGATCGATCGTTTAAACGAGCGTCACAGCATCCCTCTGGGGACGTGGTGGTCCAGAGGTTACACAAAAATATTTCTCAACCTCGACCTTTGACCCGAGCTTTTTCGTTTTCTCAAGCTTTCAAGCTCCCAGACTCCTCCCAGATCTCCTTGGCATTAGATTCATTCGAGATCTATTTTCTACTGGTCCAGACTTCACCTGCTACTCAGAATCCATCTAGCTTTCGTGCTTTTCTTGCAAGCTTATTCCATACGTGTATTATCTAAGCGACTCGTCACAATGTTTCATCCCCTAAAGTCCATCCTCCCTCCTACCCTCCCAAGACCATCTGGCTTTATTCCTATCCAAGAACTACCCCTAGGACCTCTATCTACGACCGGAGCTTTTATCCATGCATAAGCACCGCGAAGCAGCTGAACTTTACCAATGCGGATTTCCTGGCTCCGTTAATGCACCATTGCTTTATCATGGGTAACTATATACCGGGTATGTACTTTTTTTTTAATTTTTTTTTACTTCAACGCGGTAAGCCGCCTTTTGCTGCGATTACCTGTAAGAGCTACGTGAAAAGCTTCCGCTGTCGTCCCGTTTCATCCCTCAGGATTCGATCTATCCTATTCTAATTTCATTTCCTGTGCACCCAGCCACCCCTCCACCTCACCACACCCTTTTCTTTTCTTTTCTCGATAATATTCGCTTTTCTACCAGCTTGCGGAACGCTTCTCCGAGAGATTTCGAATTGACAATTAATTCTCGGCATGGGGTTTTCCTTTTTTTTTTTGGGTCTCAACTTCGATCTGAAATCTCAAGTAACGGGTGGAGAGGTAGGGGAATTTCCGTGGGATGGTAAAAAAATAAATTTCTCCAAGTTACCAAAGTGACGACTTAGGTATACCATTAGCTTAATTAACGATTGGATTGAGCTCCAATTTTTCTTTAATTCAAAATTTCAACAGCTAGTCAGTATGTAACGAATAATAAGGTTTTGTAAAAAAATTAAAAAAAAAATTTCCCATCAACATCGCACCAGGCACGACCAACTATAAAGGGGGGGGGGGTACCAGTCGATTGTCTCGCCGATCCGTTCGTCTCTCTCTCACGCACGCGAACGCGCATAAGAGCCTCTCTCTCGCACTCGCGGCAGGTATAGAAAATAAGAAAATTCTTAAAGGATCCAACGAGGAAAGGCTTTTTTCTCTACAATTCACTACAGTCTCTACTCCCAGTATTAACGTACTTTCTCGCACGACTGTACCATCTGTAAAATGGCGAATAATCCATTGACGCGACAGCCGTCAAATTTCTCTAGTTTATTTAAAGCCCACCCTATATACAGGCCTCCTTTGGGCACAGAGCACTGCCCCGGAATCCTATTGACTATTCGAAAGTGCGAATGACGTCTCTGGTGCTAGCGCGACGGAAGCGCGAGAGAGAGAAGAAGAGTAGAGAAACGGATGAAAAAAAGAAGAAGAAACGTGAATACCTCATACAGCCTCCGACCAATGGATCCTATTCGGAATTACAGATCGGTCCATTTCTTGCTTTCGCATATCTCTTTGCCATATACATTTGCATTTTACATCTCGTCCCGCTCTTCTGCCAAGTCTGTCTATCTTTATCACTTTCATTTCTTCTTTTGGTCCCTTCCTACTCTTTTCTTTTTTTTTTTTCATCCATCTCGTACGGTACCCCAC